AATATTAATGCATTAAAACCCAGTTAAAGGTGGACAAATTGGATGTAAATCTCGGATCAAGTTATTAGACACGTGCTTAGCAGCTAATAAATTGAGGCTTCTGTTCCTTCAAGTGGGGTCAAAGAGGAAAGATTTAAAGGTGATGGGGCCCCATCTCTAACAATTACGGCTTTATGAATGTCCCATAGATATTCATAGGGAAAATGTTTACTGGTTACAGGCATTTTGCTGAATTTCAATATATTCTCTAGCATATGCCTTAAAGAATAATTTATCCAAATGGATATTCCTTCAATTAATTCATGCATTTATTAATTTATTTTATTTATTTTTATCTATTATTCTAGAATTTAATTCATGGATATAGAACACGAGTACACTTTATTACTAATTATACGAGTGTGATTCATTTTATTTGGTGCACAAAAGGAAAAAAAATGCAATTTTGAAAATGCTCTTCGTATTTCTTATAATGCACAATCATAATACACAACTAAAAAAGAAACTTTTAAAATCGTAGAAAATTTGAGACAGGAGCATTAAATAGGTTAAATAAACAGGAAAAAAAAAGAGTTTTAACTAGTCAAGCTTCAAGATTTTTTAAGTGTGCCTCAATCTACATAGCATTACAGCTAACATTAAGGGAAAACTAGTTAATTTCTAAGAGATATTTCACTGCTACTAGTATACTAATTTTAAAAAGGCATTTAAAAGTTTTCTGACGAATGATGAGTTAACGGTTCTCTTAAATCATAGAGTGAATAGATGTGATGTGATATTTTAATTTAATTGTTAATTATTTACACATTTTTTAAAAATATTATTTTGTTAATTTTCTTTTTCATTTCTTAAACGAAGTATAAAATATTTGATAAACTTTTTAATCTGTATACCGAAATAACTTCATAACCTGATAAATTCAACTTCTCACGTTTCATCTTGAAAACTCTTGATTTCAAAAGCCTGAGCAAACCTATTATCCATGAACTATATAACTTATTATTAAGAACCTTATCAAACAAAACCTAATAAGTTATATATACTTAAACCTACGTTATTATAAACAAAAGTTTGATCTTATAACTTTGTTTTAAAATTACTAAACTGTAAAAAAAAATTCCGGATCAAATTACGGTAGAAAAAACTGGTACCCAGCGTGCAGCATCCGTAAAATCCATTTTTGCTGTAAAATTCCTCACCGTAATATTGTACAACTATATTTATTTAGTTGCAGAGATTCAACGATTTAACAGTAAATACTACCGTAAAAATTACGGTATATCAGATTTTGTCCATTAAATTTTTCGGTAAAAACGGATTTGACGGTAAAAAGTACTGGCACCCAAAATACCGGTACTTTTTACCATAATTGGATCTGAAATTTTTTACTGTGTAGTTTTTTTTCTTTTTCAAAAGCTATTTATGAATTTTAACGAATTTTTAAAAACGTCATAGCATGGACTTATGTTTCTCGATACCTTATTTAAAAAAGAACTCAAGTAAAGTTTACATTTGTTTTATATTAAATGAAAGATTATAGCGACTAATTTAATATTGTTTATTTTTGATCTTTCTATTTATCTCATTCAAGATAATAATGAGAAGTTTATCACTTTTCATATTTTCATCACTTGGGAGTTTTTTTTCCTGCTTTGAATGAGGTTTAAGAAGAGGGTAAAAATAAGATTCATGATGCAGTTAACATACCCTCTAAGACCTTTTTTACCCTCTTTTAAGCAGAAATAAGCCAAAATTTACCAGATTTCAACACTCGATAAATAGATATAAAGCAATTCGACGTCATATTTTTTTACCTAATTGGATACTGTCAACTTCTTAAAGCTAATTGGGATCATATTTTTAACGACCCCATTATCCATTAAATTGTAAAGGGAAAGCATTGTAAAGCATTATCACTTTACTCTAAGAAATTTCATTGAGTATAAATGAATAAAGCAATGAATAAATGAATGAAGTAATGAATAAATGAATATTAAATGAATGAAGCAATGAATAAATGAATATTAAATGAATAAAGCATAAAATAATGAAAAGCAATGAATAAATGAATATTAAATGAATAAAGCATATAATAATGAAAAGCAATGAATAAATGAATAAAGCATTATCTTAAAATTTTAAAGAACATTTAACAATTCAGTTCATTACAGCTTTTGCATTAACTAAGATCGTAATTATTTAAACCAGATTGCTAATTTAAATTACTTAACTGTTTTTAATGTACAGTATGTCAAAAAAGGACTAACCTGAATAACTTTTGATCTTATGATTGGACCTTTATGTTCTAGAGCTCAATATTAATAGTTCGAGGGGGTGAGCTCAAATATGCTAATTTGTGCAGCCGATATTGTAAGTACGAAATCGGACACAAAAACGTACTTTCTCTGAATAACCATACCTTTTTTATCGATAGATTCAAATTTCTGACTCCAAAAATAAAGGGGATAGCCGTAATCTGGGAAATATGGTCCTCATGGGTTGGTCAAGAGAGCGATCCAAAGTTTTAGACTCCTTAAGGTTAATTTTACTTTTTGCATATTTCACCATATCTTGAGAACTTTTTAAGTAAAATGACAAAAATTTGCACACAATAATAAAATTCGTTTGTCTAAAGATAATTTCATGTAAAAAATAACATTTAGTAAATATTTATAATTTTTTATTATTTTATTTATTAATTGTTGAAAAAGTTTTGAATTGTAAAGTATAAAATTTTTTACATCATTTCAAAATATTTAATTTTACATAGCAAAATAGCAATTGAAAAGAGTTGGTGATACGTTATATGCTGTGATACTTTGGAGGTTAGTGAGTTTTAACTTTCGGAATATAGAAAAAAAACTTTTCTATTTACTAGTGCATAACTTTGTTTAAATTTTTCTCTAAATTCTTGTTTGCTTTGAATAATATTTGCTTAGTCACATTAAATAAACGAAAAAATGAAGAAATTACTGCCTGCGTCATTAATACTATATACTGAGTCAATATGCATACATGAGTAAACAGCCTTATAGAAGGCAATGATTAAATAATATTTGGTGAGCTTTTGTATTGTTTTTATGAAAGCACATGAAATGATTAAACCACCGATATGGCTTTACATTACATACATTTACTATACATTTATATATTTATTTTTGTGAAAAAATATTGAAAGAAATAAGAATCACATATTTTATTATTTACGAAAAGATACAAAATATTTTGTTTCGTTATAAAGCAAAGTTGTAAAGGGTTAAGAAATACATTCGCTCTGAATCTTATTTTCCACTTAAGTTAAGGGAGAAAAATCAGTACTCTAGTTATCTGAAATGTCACTTTGAAGTTAAAGAAATATTAATTGCGAAACTCTTTTTTAGTATTTTTATAATCTCTTTACATGTCGTGAAGCAGAGAAATTCAACTAGGCTAGAGACAACAAATTGGTCGGCTTCTTATGTATACAAGCTCTTCTTACACAGATATTTTTTTTTTAAACTTTCATAAGGTTTTTCATTCTTCGTTTTAGTTTGTCCGAATGAATCAGTCGGCGTCTAACTGTGAAAAGCTTTTTGCATTCACTTGAATTAAATGAAAATAAAAGTTAGGAAAAAAATTTAATGATAATAAGACAAAACTTCAGTGAAAAAATTAATAGGAGAAGGCATGGGAGATAAAGGTCATTGGACCTAGCACAAAAAAAAAGTTTTTTCTTGACAAACTGTATGAAATCATTCATGATTTCGTTGTTAAATTTCTAACTGAAATAGATATAAATAAACCTTTAACTCATTTTTAAGAGTGATAAGGTCTCTGCCAAATGACTGCAGATGGTCATGTGATTGTTGATTTTAAAGAATAACTGTAAAAAATAACTGTAAATTCTACAGAAAAAAGTGCATTTTTCACAGAAAAAAATTGCTCTAAGAAAAAATTCAGATTTTCTTTCTGTTTTTAATCGTTACCCGAGAAATGGTAAAAACTCCGAGTTTTTTTTTTACGGACTTTTTCTGTATATTTGACTGTTTAAGCCTGTTATGTTGACAAAACTATTTTTCTCCCTAATCATGAACGGATTAAAACCATCAGTTCAAATACTAATTTTTGCCCTTCTGTTTTTTGTTTTTTGAAATTCTACTGAATTTACTTCCAAAATTTGAAGGTAATGAATAGTTTTAGAGAAGTAACAATACCTACCATTTTTTCTTTACTACTATTTTTTCTTTACATCCTAGAACTACCATTTTTTCTTTATCTGTTCACAAAAAATGTTATTTCTCAGTATAATGAAATTTAATGTTGAGTTATTGATGGTAGAGCTCAATGTTGATGGTAGAGCCCAATGTTGATGCTAGAGCCCAAATAAGTTATACTGTGCTAATTGTAAATTGTATTAAGAGCTTCCAAGCAAGATGAACAAATGTTGTTATAAACTAAGCCTAATGTAAAGGAAAAGGAAAAAAAAGCCTTCATGTTTATCTTAAGAAGGCATTCCTCCCCTTCTGAGGAATGTTATTTCCCGAGATCTATTAAGAAAATTTCTTTCAAATTTAATGATGGGTAAAAAAAATCGTGAAGAAAGTTCATGATATTAAAGTTTCAATTATTTTTTTACTCTACTTTTTCTGTTACTTTTAAATTCCATTCAATTTTATTTACTAACAAGCAAAGTTCTGAGCAATAGTTATATTACAACCTCCATGCATTTTAAAAATTTAAATCTGAAGAATCTTTTTTCGTCTGTAAATTTCACTGATTCTCACAAGAGAAAATTGCGCTTGAAAGAAATATTTAAATTTTTGAATGTATGTTAAATTTTTAAATGTAAAGAAAATATTTAAATCTCTAAAAATTAGCTATTAAATATCATTTATAAAAAGAATTGAATATCTTAAAATTAGGTTTTAAAGCTGACATTATATTATATTTCTACATTTCATTTTCAAATTTGTATTTATAAAAATATTTAAAATCGCTTAAATTCTGTTTATCTTTTTCAGGCATCTCCAACGACAAGCAATGCAAACGAAAGACGAACAAGTGGAAGAACAGGATGGCCTCAGCATGTCTGGGCACTGGAATTAAAAACTGAAAATCCTTCTTAAATTTCTAAGAGAAAGCAGATCATTATGAGTTGTACAGTCCCCGAATTAATCTGGAAGTGTAGCAGTTGATAAAAACTTCTTTAAAAAAGAGCTCAAATACCATGAAACGGAGAAAAAAAAATAGAACTTTTGTCAACACTAAAATTTTGTAAACTGCTACCATTTCGGAGATGTTTTGAGCTTATATTTACTTATTACTAGTTTATGCATCTAAAATAATATCACCGGATAAAAAAACTAGTCATTCTAATAGAAATCATGCCCAGCATCATTTAATATCGTATGATGTCTGTTTTGTCTATGATGTTTGTAAACCTATGATGTTTGCTTTTTCTTATTACGAGTTGAACCCGTTCACTAAGGTGTCCATTAACACGCATTTGCACGCTTACTTTGTAAATGGTTTGTTGTTTTTAGTTAACCTCTTAATTATGAGTGAACTGTTAATACCCTATTGTCGAAGAAAACAACACTAAAGTTCATTGAAGTGGACTAATATGTAACTGGTTTCTTGAACTTTCAAGAACCCTTTTACATTTCGAGTCATCTGCAAAGTATCCTGCCTCTTGAAGGCTATAGATAATGTATGAGACACATTGGAATAGCAGGTAAAATGCCGAAATCATTATCTCCCCAATTCTGTTGATTAGCGTGATCAAATTCTCAGCGAGTTGGTTGAACTGGTGCAAAACCCAGTAGGCACACTTTAAAAAACAAAATCCAGATAATTCACGAATGCGAAAGTGAAGTTACAAAGTAATAAATGATGCTTTTCGTGATTTCTTTTTAGGTAACTAAATTTTTGTCCGTTGAGATTACTTTTAGATGCAAGGTAACTACATTCACGAATTTATGATGCAAAGATAAACCAAAGAGTTATTTATGTAATATAGAACTACTAGAAGACGCATGAACGTTGAAGACTGATATTTTACGTTAAGAGAAAACATTGAATAACATATGTCAATGTATGATGGCCTTCAATGAATCCCCCTCCCTCCCCCTAATCACATAGTTATTAATGACTGCTTAACAAACTTTCACTTTAATCGTTTTTCATTTTTCTTATTACGTATTGGGAAAAATTGCATGAATATAAATTTCCCTCTTTTTTGTTAATTATTTTTACAAAATAAGATCAAGAAGCAATATAAGGGTTTAACTATAAAGTTATTTTTCATTAACTAACTTTATATTCAAAATATTATAGAAGCATAGTATCCTTTGTGTAATTTAAGAATTATGATTAATGTAGCACTTATATGAGTAAAACATTGCTATAAACTTTCAAAAACACCATATGCTAGGAAACTAAAGTAATATGGTTATGTTGCTTGCACAGTGGACAAAAAAAAAAGAAAAAAGATCGGATTCTTATATAAAGTTTAAGAATTCATAATAGTTTGGGATGCAGTGTTAATATATAATAGTTGAAAAGCACATTTTAGGTCCACAAATTTACGAGTTACATTTATTAATTTTATTTCTTTCTGATAGGCGTCACATTTTGCGATTAGCAGACTCTCGACATAATTAAACGATCAAGAATCCGAATTCATCGGAAATATCGATATCTCAAAATGTGTAGGACTTTATAGATTGTTCGTTAACTAATTGTTAAGGAACGTTATTTAAGGTGGGCTTTGCGAACTAATAAAATTCTCTTGTTCGCTGTACCTGTAATATTATCAGGTTATCTTTTCCCTTTAAATGTCATTGCCTGTTAAAATTAGTTTGATAATTTTCACTACTCATCATGTTATTTTACTCGCATGAGTCACTTTGTTGAAGGGGTGGTAAGTAATGTGAAAAGGCACAAGCCAAGTACCCTTAACCTTGCATAACTAGTGAAAATAAACTTATGTGACTTACGTACACTATTATATTAAAAATTGACTATGTCTTACCAAATGACTCTACTTTTGCACTAGCAATTAAATTAACAGTAAACTTTTTTTTTTATCTCTGTAACGATACGAGAAACATTTTTTTTATAGAAAGGCAGAACATCCACAGTTTAATAAGTGCAATGCACAAAAAAGCAGGACATCAACAATTTATTAAGTGTAACGTAGAAAAAAGCAGGACATCCACAATTTAATAAGTGCAATGCTTTTTGTGTTTTCTCGTCAAATTTTCTGCTCCATAAATTTTTTTTAATGTAAGTCGAATTCCCTCTCCCTTTTACGTAGTTAAAGACGTAACAGTGGACATTATAGATAGTCTCCTTAGGTGGGAACACAATCACATTATACTCATAAAGCAGTGTACAATCACTTTATTATTTCCCTCTCCCTTTTATGTAGTTAAAGACGTAACAGTGAACATTATAGATAGTGTCATTGGGTGGGAGCACAATCACATTATACTCATAGAGCAGTGTACAATCACTTTATTATTCCGTTATGTAGTACATACAAGGTTAAATTGACTTTACTTGCGATGCTGTATTTTTTCAGTGATATTCTGCTAGACTCTGAAGTAAAAAAAATATAGAATTCTTGTTTAAAAAAAAGATTATTACTTGTATGGTTGTATACTCGGTAGCAGGAACCCTCTATCATGGCAGAGGGCTTCGCAGATTATTACAGCATCTGAAGATTGTTTTTCATACAAGTTTTCTTTTGATTTTTAAAAAGCACACAAACATATGAGGAAAATTGCTGATTCTTCTTTTTTTGAAACATCTCTAAACTTGTTTCCAATAAAAATAAAAATGCTGAATTGAGAGAACACCGCAATGAACAAAAAGTAAAAGCAATTTTTCTGTTACTTGATTACAGGCTTCTAGGAACAGCTGTATAGAAATTTATTCCATATATATATTTTTTGTAGTACAATTGCATAAAATTCAACAAAGTTTAAATAACAAAGTTCAGATGTATAATTTTAAACACAGAGAAAAAAATTCTGGAAAAATTACCGTGTTTTATGGTTACATTTCTGACATTACGACATTACATTTTGCTATTTGTTAGATTAAACTAAATTTGTGCAATAATAATCTCTGTCTAATTGCGTTGAGGTCGCAGCAGACAAATTTGGATTTATGATGTTGTTAGTACTGCAGATTTCCTCTGTACATTTTGCTGCCGGGGTTGTGTAATATTTGTGTGCTCAATGTTATTCAATAGAGCTCATAAGAAAATTTTTGTGCAAATTTGCACAATAAGCTTGACAGCTAAAGTGTTATTATTATATGAAATATATTATATGTGATATGTAACTGTGTTGTTTTTGTAAGAACTCTTATTAAATCTTTGAATTAACTTAATAAGAGTTACATTTTTGATTTAGTTAAATAAACCAAAGATTTTTGATTATTATAAACATTTATTTTTTGTAGATGTGATTTATTTAAATATAGTAAAAATGAAACATGCGCGATGCTTGTGATTACTTAAAGTAAATCATTCAAAGTAATTAAGTCTGAACCTATGTAGAAAAATCTAATTTTTCGGTTCATTGTGATATGACTATGTCATCGTTCACATTCAATAATAATTTATAACCTACAATGGATACAAAATTATAGAACTTGAAGTAAAACAAGAAATAAATAAAAATAGTAGCGCATAAGTTATTCAAAGTAGTTAAGACCCCATCCATGTCCAAAAATCAAATTTTTCGATTATATTTCGACACATAGGAAGCGTTACATTGGAAGAATTTAAACTTTTTTTATCCAGAAAGTAATAATGCAAATTACTTAATTTTTTTTATATGACATGCATTATACGCTTGTTTTTTAATATAATTTTTTTTATTAACGGATTCTGTCATACAAATTATTCAAAGTAATAAAAAACCAATCTATCTCGGGACGGATTATAACGGATTCTGTCATACACTTTAGAAACTTTTTTTAAAGTAAGGAAAATTGGTCTAAGCCACTACATGATGGTATACCTTAGACAGTGGTGACATCTCCTGGATCCGTTGAGAAATAATGTTGTTTATTTGTGCTCGTCTGCGCATGACCACTGAATAGTGGAAGTGAGCAGGACCACAAATGCATCATACGGAGTACGTTTTTCTCGTCTCACTTTTGAATATAATTCTCTCACCTGTACGTACGTCATGATATTTTGTTACGTTAACTGATTTTAAATTAATTTTATACGATGGTTATTGAATAAACCTTTCTTAGTTTTTGCTTAAGAATGTAGTCCTTTTTATTAAGGTTGTGCTATACAATTATACTTAGCCTATAATGGATTTTTTAAAGCAAAAAACAATCAAAGGTTTAATAAACAACTACCATATGTTGAACCTTAGATTATTGAATGTTACTCCAAGGATAACATTCATTTAGAGTTCTTTTCCTTTGAACTTGATAGTTGATTATATTTGGATATTCATATAATCAAAACTTGATCTCCCTGTTGATCTATGGAATAAAATAAACGTAATATCGAAGAATATTTCATTTTAATATTTAAAAATTTGTAACTTCAATAAGAACATAGTATTTTTTAAACTCGGTGAGTAGCTTAGTTCAAAGAGAATTGCGCCAACTGGACCTGTTGCGCATACTTTAGACGGTTCAAGGATACTATTAAGAGACTGGTCCAAGGTATAACATGCATGCACTTTTCTCCGTACTTAAAAAGGCTTAACAGAACAAATTACTTAACTTAAAAAGTTGGTTTTTCTTTTAAAGAGAGTGTCATTTTGGTACTTAGCAACCTCAATTTTGCTTTCAAATGGCTCATTCATTGCGAAATAGACCAATGGCCGTTACCACCATAACACAAATTTTTAGGAAACCTTTTTTACGGAAAAGTGCAAACAAAATAATTTTATAAATTTTCTGGATCAAAATTACTATTAGGGAGCATTTTGAAATTTGACTGAATTTAACAAAACGGTGAAACAAAAGGTTAGTATGTTCCTACGACTACAATTTTTTTATTTATGAGTTATTTTTTTTAAATTTAGGGGTAATTAGAAAAAAAAAGTGAGAACCATGTAATTAAGCTATTAAAATTTTGAAAATAAACATGTAAGTATCTAAAGAAATTCTATTAAAATAATTGTTGGAGAATTTTTTTTTCAAATTTCGGAAATTTTTTACAGGTAAATCACAACTTTTACCACCGCAACTTTTTTTTCTTTCGCAATGTTAAGTATCATGCTTTTCAGAACACTAAAAGAAAATCAGACTGATTTCTTTTTTTATCGTTAAAAACAAAGTTTCCTAACCTCAATTTTTTCACACAATGATAAATATTACATTTTTGACATTTCAACATAAAAAATCAAAAAGGTGATTTTTTTATATCTTTAAAAAAATAAAAATTAGCATTCAGCCAAAATATTCCTAGGCATTTTTAAAGTAAAATCAAAAGATTTTTCGATCCAATATTTTTTATTTGTGCATAATGTTAATACCATACTTTTCGAAATACAGCAAATAAACAATGTGTTCTTAGTTCATGCTACCAAAAAAAAATAAAGGGTTTTACGTTTAGCCAAAATATTTTAAACTTTTTTCGGAGTGAAATAAAAAAGCGCCTTTAACTTTTTATGTTAAATATCATGCTTTTTAACATAGAAAATGCTTTTAACATTAAAATGCTCACAAGATGTTGAGAATGTAATTTCAGACATTTGGTTCAAACTGACCTATGTTTTTTATTAATGATTAATATAATCTACTGGATGATTAATATATTTAATTAATATTACATATATTACCATTATATTGAAATTTGAGAGTCACTCCTTATTAGTATGCAATAACCAAAAATTACATTCATAATACCACTGCTTGCTAACATATTGTTGGCTCTATGATAACCTTGCCCTTTCAGAAAGCTTTTGAAAAAAGATTTATCAATGTTAAAAGGCTGGCAGTGTGCATTAATTATCATTATTTGAATAGAAATGAAGAGCCGAACATTTTTTTTAGTTTTATCATTCAAGAATTTATTGTTTTTTTGTCTTTTTTTGTATTTCTACTATTTACTTTATTTTCCGAAAAAGTTGGCACTTTTAATTTTTTTAATATTCGTTGAAAGGTATGAGAAAATATTAAAGGAAAAAAATTGATATAGAGACTTTTTTGTTTCACTCTAAAAATATTACTTTTGCTTAAAATTACTTTTTATTTTTTTAATGACCGAAACAAAAACATCCTCTTCATTTCTTTTGATATTGAGAAACATGATATTTAATATAATGAGAAAAAAATTGAGACAAAGGAACTTCGTGCTAAAAAAAAACTCTTGAAGCATTTGTGACTAAAAACCATTTTTAAAAAAAATTTTAATGACAAAATTAAAGAAAAGGAAATACCCTCTTGAGTCTCTTCGTGTTGAAAACTGTGATATTTAAAAGCAGGCTAAAATATTGAGGGTGTAAAAATTGTGATTTCTCTGTAAAAAAAATTTTTGAATTTTACAAAAAATATTTTTTAAATACTTCTGTATTTTGATTCCAGCATTTTGATAGTTTAATTACTTAGTTTTTACTTTTTTTCCTAACCCACTAATTAAGAAAATTGACATTTTTAAAGTTCTTTTTCATCATGTATTTTTTATACAAAAATTTTTATAATGGAAGCAATGAGGTTCTTATTTTTATTTTGGTTCACTTCAAATGGAATGTATCAAATATAAGTTCTGTTGTGTTTTATTTTCAAATTGTATTGATAGAAAAAAAGACTTCTCAACAAATAAAAAAAAAGTTCTTTAGTGCAAGACTTAAAATTCTGAAATGATTGCCAACATAGCAGATAATACTTGCTGTTACAGTTATCAATTATTTATACCAAATGAAAAATTTTTCATCTGTGTGGCGAAAATAATTGCACTAAACAAAAGTACAGTGCGCAAATAAATAAATAAACGGACAACACTGAATAACTTTTGATCTAACAATACGATCTTCACATTCTAGGACTCAATCTTAATAATTCGAGGGGGTGACCTCAAATACGATAATTAATTAGTGCAGACATTATTTAAGGTTACGAAATCAGACTCGAAAACGTACTTTCTCTGAGTAAACCTACCTTTTTTTTACGACGGATTCCTATTTTTGATCCTCAAAATATACGGGTAGCCGCATTCTGGGAAATATGGTCCCAATAGTTTGGTCAGGAGAGCTGTCCAAAGTTTCACCCTATAATGTTAATTTTATTTTTTGCATATCTTGCCATATCTCGAGAACATTTTAAACGAAATAAAAAATTTTTGCACATTATTATAAAATTCGTTTATCCAAAGATGATTCAATGCAAAAAAAATAAATTTTAGTTCATATTTATTATATTTTATTTGTTACTCGAGAGCTTTTTAAAGTGCAAGGTATATAATTTTTACATCATTTTAAAGAATGTAATTTTTTTTCCGGCAAAACCCAAAATTTGAGCGGAATCGGTCAAATAGTTTTTGAGAAATCCAATTTTAAAATTACGACTTTTTTAAAATTCGACATCTCGGGAACTATTCGACAGACTTTGCTCAAATTTTGTATTTTGCCATTTAAAATTAAATTCTTTAAAAAATGCAAAAAAGTACTTTACAATTTAGAAATTTTCCGACTATTAAAAATAAAATAACAAAAACTAAAAGTTATTTTTACTAAAAGTTATTTTTTGCCTGAAATTATCTTTGCATTAACGAATTTTATATTAATGTGCAAAATTATTTTTAATTCGTTTAAAAAGTTTTCTAGATACGGTGAAATGCGCTAAAAATGAATTGACATTAAAGGGTTTAAACTTTGGACTGCTTTCCTGACCAAACTATTGAGAGCATATTTCACTGACTTCCCTATATTTTGGGGGTCAGAAAAGAAATCTGAATCCGTCAAAAAAGCAAAAGAATGTTTTTCAAAGAAAGTACGTTTTGGGGTCTAATTTCGTAACTTAAATAGCGTCTGCATTAATTAATTAGCATATTTAAGGTAAAACCCTTGAACCATTAGATTCAGTCCTAGAACGTGAAGATCCGACCATTAGGATAAAAAAAAAAGTTTTTCCTTGTGGTCCTTTTTTGCGCATTAGAACACTTTTTCTTAACTATAGCTAGAGGGAGGCACAAGGTTACTTATTTTTATTCTATTTTATCAAAATATTTAAATTCTTTGGTAATCAAGCTCCATGTTAAAATTTGAAGAAATTGTTATACCATAATCTGTTTAACTTCAAATATCCCGAATATCCGACTCTTTAAATCAATTTTATTTTGCATAATGTAACACACACAATTTTAAAGAAAAGCTGTTTATTATAAAGCTACTTTTAAAACGCTACTCGCAGCTTTATAAATATGAACAAATAATTTTGTTTACAAAATATCATTCACTTTATTTAAATAGCCAAGAGT